AGAGGGTCAGTAGGGGCTGTGTGTGGGCTGGGGGTAGCTCAGGATGCAGGGAGGGAGGTAGCTAGGGACTGTGTGCTGGGAGCTCCCCGCAGTTGCTGTTCCCCAAAGGCTCTGATGGCCCCTAAGCCAGGTCCCCCCACCCCAGCAGCTCTTACTGGCTGCATGAGCTGTCAAAGGGGGCTGGGAACTGAGGAGAAGCTGCAACCCCAGGCACCAGCAGGAGATGGGGTCCGGGGAACGCTGCAGCTGCCCACTCCATGGCACCAACCAGAGCAGCAGCTGCCTCATACTGCAGTGTCTTACCCAGAGCCAGGCAGTTTGAGGGGGCAATACCCCCTGTGCCCACAATTCTGCCCATGGGATCCCAGCTTGAGGCCCGCAGGAGATGCCGGGGCTCCATGGCCCTGCTTAAAAGGGCTCATGGCCCCAGACCTCCAGTTGAGAACCGCTGCTCTAGGTCTCCCCATCTCCCTAAGGCAGCAATTCTCAAACGTTTGTATGAGTGACCCCTTTCACACAGCAAGCCTCTGAGTGCGACCCTCCCTTATAAATTAAAAACATTTAACATTATAAATGCTGAAGCAGGGTTTGAGGGTGGAGGCTGAGAGCCTGCAAACCTCCCTCCCCCCCCCCCCGCATGTAATAACCTCACACCCCCCAAGGGGTCACAACCCCCAGTTTGAGAACCCCTGCTCTAAGGTACCTATATGGCCCCCATGAGAGTAGTACGAGTACCTCACATCTTTATACATTTATCCTCACAACACCCTCTGAGGCAGGGCTGTTATCCCCAATTTACAGACAGGTAACTGAGGCACAGAGATATTAGATGACTTTCCCAAGGTCTCACAGGCAGTCTGTGACAGAGAGTGGAAAAGAATTCAAGTTCCCCAAATTGGCACCCTAAGTAGTGAGCCATCCTTCCCCGCCCCAACATCCACCAGAGAAATGTTCTGCTCTTCTCTTGTAATGATTAAGTTTTCAATGCCTGTGTCCTTTATTGTGCTAGACAGACCTCTCCCAGCCAAGCTCCAGCCCAGACATAACCCGTTTAGGATCCCCTGCACAGACCCAGTCAGTCAGTCTCCAACTCTGAGGCATCAGCTGTGATCCTGAGTGACAAGCAGCCCAGATACCCAGGACGGGAACATGGGTGCCAACAAATAATCACATAACACCACAGGAGATCCCAACCTTCACATCCGCCGCTACCTTCTAGGAAGACACTGATGAGATTAAGCCAGGACTAACTAATGGAAAGCAACTCCCTCCCCAATAGAACTCTGACCAAACTGGGACTAATAGAGAAAAAACATCTCAAAGTAAGGCAGCAAAAAGCTACTTCAAAATGCCCATTGGTTATTGCAGCAAGAAAATCATCTAGCACAACAGCCTTCAAACCACAGTTCAAGCCTCAAAAAGCCATTGGTCATGTTCTTTCGTAGCCCAAGCTCAGCTCCCAAAAACTCAGCCCTCTCTTCCAGTGACCTCCATAGCACCCTCTACTCATCTGAAGATAAGAGATCCACCTGTGACTCAGGGGCAAGCCAGGGGCTAAAGGCAGCAGATTCCAGCGCCCTTTGGCTAGCATACAGACCCTGTTCCCCCCCCGCCCCCCGGGACAGCTCATGCCTGGGTCTGATTTCATTTCTAATATACAGCCCCTGTGGGGCAGAAGCACTTACCTCCATCCTCTGCACTGATCTGGAGAGAAGAAACCGGGACATCATCACAAGGAGAAGAGGCTAGAAGATGCTCCTGTGCCAGATCCTTTCCCTCCCCAACCAGATATCAGAATGTTTCAGCCCACACTCACAGTTCGAACAAGACATTTGTGTCTCTCTTTTTCTGTAGCGTAGACAATGCTGCACTTAACTAAAGCAACTGAAACGAGTCCTTCTAGGCTTGATGGCCACTGAGTAGAAAGATGTGGTTTGCTCTTTCTAACTATGCAGAAGACTTGCCTGGCTGTTAGAGAAGGGGGACCGGGAGGCTGGGTTCTGTTCCCAGCTCTGCCACTTACTTCCAGGGTGACCTTGGGAAAGATTCTTTGCCTATGTACTTGCAGCTGTAAAACAGGTAGGGCAGGGTGAGTTGAACACAGAAATCCAGAGCGCATTTAACAAGCAGAAAATAAAATGCTAGCCCCAGAGAGCATGCTCTAGTCTGCTCCCTGCTAACTACACTGCCTGAGCCTGTTACTTCCCAGTAGGCCTTTTCTAGAGCTCCCTGGTGGAAACTGTTACCTCCTGATTGCTCCTGGCCTGGAGCCCTGGGTCATTATCCTAACTGCTTCCACCAGTGTGGGTGCAGAGCTGCAGGAGACAATAGCAGGGAGTTAACACTGGGCCTACCAGATCCAACAGTCCATGTGTTGCTTGAAATGCCCTGGGACCTCACCTGAAGTTTCCTGTTGGAACGTATTGTGTTATGATGTTATGGAACCGGAGCCAAACACAAGCAGCTAGGGGGCCTACCATGTAGCCCAGAGCAGTTTAAAGATGAGTTTAGCCAACAAGCCATTCCTCCCTCCCAGAGCAAGGGAGGTTTATGTGCAGACAAATGACAGCTGTGTGCATTTCATTGGGAGAAATCATTTAATGCAATTTTTGATGCAAATTAGATGCCCCCCTCAAGCCCCAGGGAGGCTCTGTGTTTCAGGGTGAGAGAACCCTAGCCTCTGGCTATAAGCAACAGCCTCATAATTTTCCATTTCTGCATCTTCCAACCTATTCCCCCTTTCACTCCCTTTCCTCCTTAAAGTGCACACCATTCAGCCTGTCTCTATCTCTGCCCTCCTGCTGCTGCGCCACTCTCCCTCCTCCCCCTCCTCTGTGCCTCTTGCCCTCACAATCTTCCCCACCCCCATCCTGAAAAGCTTCCTCCCCCTTGGTGAGGACCCTTTCCTTTCAGCTGGGGTCACTCCCTTGCCCTTGTCATTGCCATCAAGCTAAGCAAGCGATCCTGTGACCTGGATCATAAGCCTTGTACTCCCTTCCCCTTCCTCTGACTGTGGCCTCCCAGCTTGGGAGCTCTCTGAGGCAGGATTAGCTTTGGGCATGGGGATTAGAGGGAAGAGCACTCTTTAAGGACTCTGCCCATAATCTCTTTGGCCCAGCCCCACAAAGGTATTTAGGCACCTAATTTCAGTTTTTAAGCTCCACTGTGATCCACAAAACTCCCTCTAGGCACCTAAACTCACCTGCCACCTACATTTTCAGGGTAAAAGTTCTCAGTGCACAGAGGGGCTGCCTGGGCGCACGTGCCCTGGTGCCTTTCTTTAGGTGCCCAGCTGCCTAGCTGCAGCCTAAGCCCCAAGGCAGTACCCAAAGGAGGGCAGGGGGAAGAGAAAAAGGAGAAGCGCCTGTCTCACATGTGGGGCCCAATCCAGGGGGGATGCTCATACCACGTCCAACAGATCAGACCCGATTCAAAATCTAGCAGGAGCACCGCCGCTCACCTTATAACTTTGAGCCCCGTGGTTAGGCTATTTGCATTGGAGCCCCCCGTCCAATTCCCCCTCTCTATGCCAGAGGGAGGGAAAGGGTTTGAACAGTGGTCCCCCACCTCTCAGGCGAGTGCTTGAACCACTGAGCTATGGGATATTCGGGGGGGGGTGGGTGTCTCCCTCAGTCTCTCCTGTTGAAGCTGTTCCCCTGTGGATAACTAATGAAGAGGCCTTGGGCCAGAGAGAGAATAGCTCTGTAGTCCTGTGGAGGAGGGAGATCTCGGGTCTGGTTCTCCTGCTCCAATTATTAGTTAGCCAAAGTGGAACAGCTTCAACCGGAGAGACTGAGGGAGCCTCACATCAGAGTATCCCATAGTTCAGGGGTTCGAGCACTCTCCTGAGAGGTGGGAAACTCCTGTTCAAATCCTTTCTCCCTGTAAGAAGAGAAGGGAATGGAAACTGGGTCTCTCCCATCCGAGGAACAAGCTCTAAGCACTGGCCAATAATTATAAGGTGGGCAGTGACACCACTTCTTCCTCTAGCTGTTTTGAGTGGAGGTAGGCAGAGGCCTAATTCACTCTCATAAGAAACAATTTAGGTGCATAGCTCCAGAACAGGGGCGGGGCTTAGGATACACCCTTCTCATCGGCATCTCCCACTGGCTAGCTTAAGGCAGCTCCTCACCTTGTGTGCTGGGTTTTGGAGATATTAGTCTTAGGCCATGTCTACACTACAAAATGATATTGACTTAACTTATGTTGGCATACAGCCACTGCAATCGACCTAACCACATCGACTATAACTCTACACCACTCGGGGAAGCGGTGTTACTAAATCGGTGTAGAGGGGCACTTACGTCGGTGGGAGCCAAATTGAAGTGAAGACACTTCCACACCTAGGTCAACACAAGGCAGCTTATGTTGTTCTAACCCTGTAGTGTAGGCCCGGGCATCTATTTCTCTCTATTCATTGTAGAGGGTTGGCACCTAACTCAGCTTTTGTGGCGCCCAGGGTTGTTCCACTGATTTTCTAGGTGCTGCAAAGTGAAGTGTTGCAATATTCGGCTTTGCAACACCTTTGTGGATCTGGGCCTTTAACTCTCTGCCCTCTCATGTGCAGAATGGAACAGGATAGGTCTTTGAAATGGCTACCAACAAAACAATCCTCCAAAGAGGAGACTGGATTGGGCTGGGCTGGTGGCTAGTACTCTGCAATGCCATGTGGGAAGCGTAAGTTCTAATCCTGGTTTGTTGCTTGCTCCCAGCACTGAGATCCCTGCAGTGGAGGGTAACAGAAATCAAGGCTGTACTGTCTCAACAGTGGGCAGTGGACACCTTATGTACCCGTTGGGCTCCGAAGAGAGTGTTCTCAGTCATGTCTTCTTGCCCAAAGAAAGGTCATAGAAAGATAGAGCCTTACATGGAAGTGCCCAAAACTGGGATTCTTCCTTAGAACATCCTCCCCACCCCCCACACACCTATCAAATGTGCCCAGCTGACATCCAATAAAGCACATGGAAAATTCAACCATAAAATAATTCACTGCAACAAAGTGGGGGCAATATATCTTTAATTTTTTTTAAGTATTACAGTATATTCTTATAAAAAGGTGCAGATAAAAAGGACACTACAGGTTTTTTACATTTAATTCATTTATAGTCTTAAACTGACCAAGAAATGAGGATACACTAAGGCATTACAGCAGCACCGGACCTCTCCCCAGCTCCTGCGGGCAGCACTGTGCCTTCTAATTTTGCATGTGGGGGAATCCAAAAGTGGCCAGCAAGTTTCAAGCTAAACCTAATGCAAAGAAGTGAGAAGGCTGGCTGAGATGAGGTCCTAGCAGGAGCAAGCACTGATCTGAAACATCTGATGTTTCCTTTCAGCACTGTGACATTTTTTTAGGAAGCCTTTCCAGATGGCGGTTAGAAGGGTGGATGATAGCTGGGCACAGAGGGCTTGCTGCTGGTGATAAGCCCGCCTAACAATGTACTGTATGGAATTTGTGGAACATGCTGTAGGCAACACAAGGGCAAACTAATGGAGTCAGATGCTGCTCCCAGTTATACTGGTGTAAATCCAGGGCAGACTGACCTGACCACACTGGAGCTGATCTGGATTTATACTGCTAACAGAAAAATCTGCCTTAAAGATCTATAGAGTGTTCCTCCAAGAATGAGAACAACATGGTGAAGGGCTTTATGACTCTCTGAAGTATCTTAAAGACACCACCATTAGAGAACCCATAGCCCCCGTTCTGCGCTGGCAAACACATGCAGCCCTATGAGTTCACAGGTGCTATGTAAAGCAAAATTTGGACAGCTTTGTTTTTGCCATAAGTCCCATAAGGATTAAGTAGCATTAATCAAGCTGCCCATTGGGATCAGTAGTTGAGTGAAGCCAATCCATGGGAGATGTATGTGCAGGATTTAAACTTACATTAAAAAACAAACAAAAAATCTACCCTTACAGTTGTAAAGAAAATCTTCCCAAATTGTAAAAAAAAAAATATGCTGTCTCCAAGAGACTGCAGCCAGAAAGGAGTGATAGCTCGGAGTGGTGAGGACTGTCTCAGTTTGTCCCAGCAACTTGGTAACTCTGAAGCCTAATGATGACAATTTAAAGGACAACATTGTTCTGTGTTAAGCACTTTTGTAGAAACATCCTGCTCCACTGGGATGATGGGCAGAACTGGGGATTGTGGGCGGAGTTTGAGGAGAGTGCTAATACCTTTTAGCCCACTGATTGGGATTGGGATAAAATAAAATCACAATGTGCATGAAAGTAACAGATCTGTAATCGGTCTAAAAGAAAAAGCTCTTCTGGGTTTGACATCACTGGGGCCAGCTCACTGCTTTCAGGGAGGCATGGGCCAATGGGGATACAAAACCCCAGGGAATGCTCCCTTTCTCCTTCCTTCCCCCACCCAACTGATGACATGCAGCCCAGCCCAGAATTGCCCAGCAGACCGGCTAGCTGGTGTAATGCCCTGGCACAGTCTCAATAGTCTTTGCTGTAGTGCGGTGCATACATGCAAACATAGCAAACTAAAATAAGGCAAAATAAATAGAGGTGTCAGATTTACAGCTTCCCCCTAGAGCTTCCTAAAAACCTTAATTCTTTTTAAAAACATTTAACCAAAATAAAAAAAAAATTACCCAGAAACAAAACTGCATACATCATGTACATCATGAACTGTACAACCCGTCTCCATTCCCCTCAAAGACACTTCGGACACACACCTCCCCCTCCACAACCCAGCTCAGAGTGCAAGCGCATCTGAAGAGAGGAAACATTCCTCCAAAGAGGCTGACCGTCACAGAAATGCCCACCCCATCTCTTTCCCACAAGGCCCCTCACAACCTCTCTCGCTTTCTCGGACACCCCGAGCACATTACAGAAATGCTTCTGAAGAACCCCCAAGCCAGAAGTCTCTAGCCACTAAGCACTAGTCCTGCTGCTGCCGCTGGGGCGGGGGTGGGGGGGGAGTGGATTTGGTGCCTGGATCTTCAGTCAGCTGCAGAATGTGGACTGGCCTTTCTGCTCCCATGTTGTGGAGCTGCTTTGATGTTATTTGTCCTGGTCTCTGGAAATGTGACTGATTCCGCACTGTGACCCAGACCAGAGACAGCCAGGGAGGGACTTGACTAAGCACTTGTGCTAATAACTTTTCTGTGGTCACCTGGGGCAACCCTCTAACAACAATGGGCTTGCACAGGGGTAATTAAGGGTGGACTTGGACCCTGGGGGCCAGATTTAAGGAGATAGAAAATACACTCTTCTGTAGCAGAGAGACTCCAGGGGAGGGACTTGGCTCAAGGGGGGGACAGGCAACGTTACCCTCAGTTGGGCTAAAAACTCTGCCACGGATCCAGAGGAGCTGTGCAAAGTGGGAAGAGCTCAGGAGGGTGCTCAATTGGCACACACCTCTGTCCGTTCAGCCTATCCACTTTTGGGGCTGGGCTGGCCCCTTACAGCTGCCCCATTGCAGAAGAAGTTGAAGCTACTGTAACCTGGTTCCCTGGTGGGGGGACCTCTCACTGCCTGAGACCTCTGCCAAGGTTTGCACCAGTGTGACTCTGGAATTAACCAAATCCCAGCTCTACTGGCAGTTACCCCAGATAGGTTCTCCTGCGAGCTCATCCTCTTCACCTTGCACGTGCTCTGGCCTTCCTGATCTGTTTCCCATTGCCTTTCCTTCCCTGGGATTTGCTGGTGCATAGTGGGCCCATTGTCAGCATCCCTCTAGGGCTGGCAGGAAGGTCTTTGGGAAAATGGCTGAATCCTTCTTGCTGGCGTAGGGTTTAAGTACTCTGAAAGAGCTGCTGGGAAGGCTTCAGGAGGTGCCTCGGTTAAGCTAAGAAAGAGGCGGTACTTAAAGCTGCCCTCCTGTGGGCTGCTGCTTTCCGCCTACCAACATGCTACCCCGGGGCTGCGTGTGAGCAGCTCTTGTAGGAGGCTGAATGGAATGGTAGGAGACAGGAAGGTCCGTAGCCACGCCGGTGCTGTTCCCCATTTTCCTTCCATGCACAATGAGCCAAAAGGGCTAGCTGCACGCTACAAACGTTCCTACCCAGAAGGATCATGGAGGTATCAGAGTGGGGTGAAGCAAGGCCTGGGCAGCAGTGAGGCACTTGGGGGTTACCAAGGCAATGGCCGAGAAGATTTTGGTTCTAGCAGCAAGTCCGGGAGCTGTGAGATCAAGGGCAGGTCCACAGATGTGCAGGATTCTGTGATTGCAGCTGATCCCCTTAAGGTAAACATGCTATTAGGTTCCCACAAGGGAAAAACTGAGGCTGCACCTACTCTGTTTCAGGGAAACTCTTCCACAGCTGTAGCTTGGTGCAGCTCCACTGGTGCTTGCAATGATAGGAGTGCTAGTGTAGACTGGTAGGGCTGAGCTAGGACCAGAGCAGGTGGAGATGGGACAGCTCCTGGGATGCTGCAGGGCTGTGTTGAGCCAAGATGCAGAGGAGCACAGGGGGTGGTGGAAAAGCAGCAGAGCCCCTATGACATTGCAGGGCAAGTCTCAGATCGGGGAGCAGATCCCAGGGACTAGGGAAGATGGGAAATTGGGAGAGTACTGCAGACTCATCCCCTTCATTTAACTGTTCTTTTTCTCCCCCTTCAATTCCAACACTCGTATGCTCTTGTTCAGGGGAAATGGACATTTTATTTCAAATCTTGGGGAACCCTGGCTCCTAGACTCAGCCAAGGGAAAAAACAACCACCAACCAAAAACCCAGAATGGAGCTCCTACGGGTTCTTATGGTCTCACAGCGTGTCAGTCACTGTGTCAGCGTGTCAGTCACTGTGTCAGCGATTACAGCCCGTATCCTGTGCATTGTGGGGCTCTGCTAATACAAACTCATTCACTTGAGAACAAAGACTAGGCAGGGCAGCACAACCTCCGTTTTCCTTCCTCAGCCAGTTAGCGGCTCTCCAGAGAGCTGTGTTTAAATGGCACAAGGGAGTTGCACTGGTCACAGCAACCCTAGGTCTAAAATCAAGATGGAATGTGGTCCCAGCATGAAGGTGGGTTCCAGGGCAGGGCCAGCTGCTCCTCCCTTCCCATGTGACCAGCTACTTCGCATACCATGAAAACACGTTATCAGGTCTTTCTCCCTGTTGCCACCTGTCAGTGGTAGGAAACGCTGCCAACCTTCATGACTCAACGCAAGTGTCTCCAAGCCCTGACCAGGGGCCTCCTCCTCCCAAGAACATTTTGCTATGGCCAGGTGATCAGAGAAGGGGAACGCGCTGAAGGCTCCTTATGATGGAGAATGCAGCCTTGATCCAGCATCAGAGACTCAAGCAAAAAAGCATCAGAGACTCAAACACCTGATGCTGAGAAAATGGAGCTGGAGTAGATCTAGAAGGTGTATGGACTCCTATAGGCTTTTCAGTCACAATAATCTAAATCCACAGTACGGCCCACAGCTGCCTGGTATGACCCTACCCTATGTGCTTTGTGCACCAGTCTGGGAGTTGGAAGATTTCACCAGTTCCCTTTGACTCTCTTGCACAGAGATCTCTGCAAATCTTGGGCTGGACTGTGCAATTCTGATGAATGGACAGTGGGCTTCTTTGTAACATAACCTCCCTCTCTCTGCCTTTGCTACATTCATGGCATTGCAAGGTGACTAGAGTGTCAGAAAGCCTAACGCAAACCTGCTGGTGATAAGCACAGGATGGGGAGATGCTAGCTCATAAATTCAAGGCTCTTCCCCTGAGCAGAGTTTTCTTTGACATCTCAACCCCTGTTGAATTTTCCTTATAAAATGGATTAGTTTTAGACTGGGGGCCAGTGAAACCATGGAGTCACACCTGCTTACACCAGGGCTTAAAAATCTCAGACTTGGAATTTGGAGACTACCAAAACCTAAACTCAATGTATACCAATTTGGCATGTATTACAATCTCATATGGCTCTCACAGGATGGGTTATATGGCATGCTTTAAAAAAATAGTGTTGGAATAGAGCACTGATCTAGTACGGAGGAGCAAGGAGCTTGTGAATATAATTTACAAAAGACATTTTTGAAAAATCTATTTTGGAGTTTTTAAAAAATTGCTTAAAATTTTTTTCTTAAGCTTTCAAAACCCGGTTTGAAAATACAAAATCTCTCTCATAAAAGGTGCCTGTGTCTGCCACAATGGACATTTCTGTTAGCTGCTAATCCCCGAGGGGGAAGGGAATAATACTGAAGGAGAATGCATGCAGCTCTTGTAAGATACCAGCTCTTCACCATGAGTATTCTGCAGAGGTGCAGTGGTCTGGAATGTCGTCAATAGGGAAATTCTAGGGTAGGAGACTCAAAATACAGTAAACAACATTACAGTTTTAAACTTTTTTCTTATCTCCATAGTTTACATAATTATTTAACCTTCCAAGAGTTCAGAGAACCTCCACAGTGTGTTTCCCCGATGTTGTCTGAATATAATACTGATCAGGCAGTGTGCCTGGGGCACGGAGTTTTGTCCTGCAGACTCAATGCTGAGCCTGAGATTAAGTGACATTTGGAGAAAAATAAAGCCAAGTAATTAAAGTGACAAACTGAGCTGTTTCTGACTTCCTCCAGATTCTGCGAGATTTCCTGCTGTTTGTTTTTTTAATGCATATTTTGCAGAGGATGGGTCTCTTTTTCTCATCCAGTATCACATCCAGAACACTCCTTTCTTTCTCCTCCTTTTTCTCTCCGTGGGAAGATAACCAAAAAGCTCACTTAAGGAAGACAAGACAAAAGAAACCATGACAACCTGCATAAGCTAGTCTCATTGCTAGAGTCATGAAGGTGAACAGAAATAGCAACAAAATAGTCAGTGTCTTTCTTGTTGGCTTGTTTGTTTTTGGCTGTGTGCTTTACATTTTTATTTTTTAATAAAAAAATTCCTATTAACACAAATTTTCAAAGCCCTCGACCCATTCAGATCTGTGTCCTCCTGATTAATTCCTGTCTTGTTTATGGCACCTTCATTGCAAGCAACACCTTCCAAGTGGCAAAGACCCTGGGTAACATGGCTGTCCTTGGACATCTTCACATATTATGATGTTTTATGGTTCCCGCAGGGGTTTGCTGAGAAGGCCAACTTCCTAGATGCAAGTTCTAGTTCCAATAAAGTTGTAGCTGGCACCAAATGGAAAAAAATATCCCATTTCCACTGCCAGTGACCCCGTTTGACTGTCTTTATTTAGGACCTTGTGATGATCCCATACAGTTCCCAATTTCCATTGGGTTGCACTAACAAAATGATGCAAAAGCGGTATGAAATTATCAGCACTGGGTGGCTATTACCCTCCTACCCTTGGGCAATGGCAGTAGGCTCTAAGAGCATCTGGATCTGGCCCCGATCAGCTGTGGGTTCATTTTCTAGACTCCAACGCAGAGCACCCATTCTAGAACATGTATTTCACTCTCTCCCAACTTTTCAGGTTCTAGAACGTCCCTAGAAGCTTCAACAGGTTCCAGAAAATGGCTTTAACAAAAAAAAAAAAGAATTCAAAAAAGTTTTGTAAATGGTTTTATCAATTCTGATTATTGGATTTCGAGCCAGGACTCCATCTCATTTCCAAACCCCATCCTTCCCCTCTGAGCGTCATTTGCTTTGGCTACTAAAGGGCACAAAAAGCACAAATAAAAATACACAGTACATGAGATCAAAAGCATTTTTCAGGTTCTAGTCAATGACTCTTTGTAAATCCAGTTCTGGAAAGGAACTCCATGGCAAACTCCCGAAGGCTGCTCCAGATCTCGAGAAAGCGTCAGGTGTGTTCAGAGCCAGCCTGAGACGTGATGGTCTTGCTTAGTCTCAACAGACGGAGAACACTACTTGTTTGTACTTTGGCACACAGCGAACGATCTTCCCCCAGCTGCTGAGTGGTCCACAAGGCCCAAGTGCTTCCTGTTGTCATCAATAGGCCTTTGCTGAGCTTGGAGGCAAGACTCCCAGAAGCAAATCAACCAATGATCTGAACGGCTCAGTCACAAAGTTTGCTGGCTCCACAGAGGCACTTTTACAGCCATTCCACATTAGACGCATGGGGGAGCGGCGGGAGGGGAGGAAAGTTGGTCATGAAAAAGTAACGTCTCTAGCTACGGGCTGGGTAAGCCCTTGGGGGCAACCATCAGCCAATTGCTGTCACACACATTCATCTTTCTTGGTTTGTTCTTTGTCATCATCTTCTTTGGGTTGGTTCTATTTCTTTTATCCCCTCCTTCCTTGTGTTGTTAATAATTTAGTTTGGTCACTGCCCGCTCCCGACTCGTCTCCAAGCCTTGGTTCCCTGAACGCTTACGGTTGCGCTTGAGCTTGGATAAGTCTTTGTCGAAGACCTCGCCTGACCTGAGGGCTGACACCAGGTCGTCGAACTCCCCACTCTCCTCGGAGATGCTGCCGGCCTTTGCTTTCTTTTGTCGCCTCTCTTTCTCCCTCTGCTCTTTCAGCTGTTGAGAAAGACACATGGATTTAGGCTTGGCTGGGGCTGGACAGAACATTGTATTATTAAGGGACGTTGTCAAGCAGGCACTAAGATACCACAGTGATTGGCATGATGTGGAAAGCTAGATTACAGAGGGGGGGGGCTCAGTTCTGAGCCCTGCTGCACACAGGGGAGAAAGGAAGCATAAGAAACCCCCTTAAACCCTATGCCTGATCCTGTGTGGGGGATAGCAGCCATACTGGGCTGCTCCTCTATTCTCCTGTGCAGGTGGGTAAGAGTGGGTGGAGTCTTATCTACCCCTCCTTTCCCCCCAATGCACCAGCCCTGCACTGAACCCAGCATTAAAGGGGGAAGCAAGTAATTTGCAGATACTTCCCTCCTGGAGCAAGGGAGAAGCAGAGACCAAACTCAGAGTTACAATTTGGTTCATGTCTGCTCTTGGGGCAGTGGCAGCCACATGCTACACCTTATTCAGACTGGGTGGAAGGTTACAGTCCAGCCCATAGCTGAAAAGAGGAGAGAATGTAGAGAGATGTAGGTTAGGCCCCAAACTAAGCACAGGGTGTGCTGATAAACCCAAATAGGAATAGAAATGTGGTTATTCAATCAAACCATATGCATTGGGATGGAGTCAGTCTCTTACAGTGATGGGAACACAAAGGCAACAGAAAGAGATCAAGAAAGAGAAGCCAATTATAAACAAAGTGAAGTAGACCAGCCAAATTGAACTGTCCAACCTGAAGGAGATGCAGAAAGTCAACTAACAGCATCAGTGATGAAAAAGAACAGTAGATTTTTTTTTATAAGTTTACTAGCCGAGTTCTTCCCTGGGTGATGCCCTGCTTCCCTGGAGTGACACCAGCAAGGAGTCTGTCCATATGAGTTTGTCTCGCTAACGTCCATCTAAACTCCCCAGCACTGGCTGGCTCCTTGGGTTAGGGCTGGTGATCTATCCCACATGCACAGACCCAACCGCGATGCTCTCATTCTCTGTGTCAGCCCCTGGGATGCAGGAGGTGCATCTCCATATATAAACTACAACCCTTCTCTAGGTCAGTGAAGGGGTCCTATTCACTACCTCTTCCCTGAAGCATGGTGGCTGATGGGAGGCATTCAGGAGAGTGGGTTACAACAGGGAAAGATTTTCTGGAAAGAGGGATCCCATCAAGTTTGAATACAGGACATGGGGAAACATACCCCTCCTCCACCAACCTACACAGAAATAAACCTAAATTGCAATGTGCAACATCCCCTGCTATTCCAATTCTGACCACACACAGCTTTGTCAGTGCCCCACACCCTTGGCCTGCAGCACCCCCTGCTATCCCAGCCCTGGGCTCCCTACACACAGCTTTGCCTGTGTCCCTCACCCCTGACCTGGAGTCTTCCCTCTCCCCCACCCGGTGCCATCCTAGCCCTTGGCTCCCCACACATAGCTCTGCCCACATGCCCCCTGCAGCCCTCCTGCTATCCCAGGCAGTTGAGGCATCTCAGCGCTGCTGACCTACAATACCCATACTTTTACAATGGACCACTTCACTTTTAAATACTAACCGCTAATAAATCGATGCCAAGTACTGGCATTTTAAAGCCCCTCGTACAGCAACTCCAAGGACGATGCTGAAGTCCTGGGATTTCTCCTTAATCCCCCCTCCACCTCTGAACCAAGCCAAACAGAGTGGTTTATAAATAAAATAAACAAATAAATTAATAATAATTAAAAAAAAAAACTCAAAGCAGCAATCCTCCTAAACAAGCCCTGGGTTGCAGTAGCTGCTGGAGTTAAAGTGCTGGCAGCACAAAAGGAGGTAGAGGAATGCTGAGCTGTTCTCAGGCCTCAGGAACGTGGGAGGTTAGTTCACCCCAACCCCCCCGGGACCCACACATCGGAGTTCCAGCAGGAGAATCAATGATGCATGCACGTTCTCCCTGCCCTGTCAGGGCCGAAGGCAGCCTGAGTAACCATGGCATTGAGGGCAGCCGGGGGAAAGGCTGCTGGTATCTGCAAGGCAGGCGCCAGTGGGCTCCTGTGTCACAACACACGGTCCGGGGACAGACACAGAACAGATGATAATCAAGTCTGAACGGAAGCAGCCCAGTTGGCAGGACTGCGGGGGATCTGGTGCCAAGTGCTTCAAAACAGGAATATCAGTCTTAAGGAGGACGGTATCCCCCAGGTGTGCAGGGGAGGCAGCCCAATGGCCGGATGGCAACCTCCAGGTGTGGGGAGGGGAGGCACCCAGATGTCAAGAAGGCAGCTTGGAGGCTGGAACAGCATGCCCTGGTTTGACAGGGCAGCACAACCTTTCTGGGGAGAAGAGTGCAGAACAGACCCCTGGGGGCTGGAAGCCCCTCTTGTCGGCCCTGGGATTTCAAGGCAGCCACCAGATGTTTGCCCCTGATGACTGAGAACTCTGTGTCAATAACAAGGCCTGCAGCGGGAGGGAAAGCACACAGCCAAGGAGCACTTTGGCAGGAGAGGGAGTGGGAGGACAGGCAGCTGGGAGAGGAGATGAGAAATGAGGGACAGGTGGAGGAGAGCCAGGCTTGCGGGAGCAAAGGAGACAGTGAGAGGTGGTGTCTGAAGCAGTGGCAGGGATGGAACATGAGCAGGGGAATCGTCTCACTTGGCCCCTGTTCTCTTGAGAACAAGGAAAGAGGCATCCCCTCCCCGACGCCTCCTCCCCCGGGTTCTCACCATGGCCTCCATGCGTGCCCTGCGCTCCTCCTCCTCTTTCTTCTTCCTCATATTCTCCAGATCTTGCTTGGCCTCTGTGAACGACTGCAGGAAGGTGTCGAAGATGCCAAAAAATTCATCTGGCTGCATCTTGCCCTCATTCTCTCCAAAATGCTTCAGCGCCTTGGCGTACTGTCAGACAGGGAGAAGAACAGAACACGAGCATGGCAATTAGAGGGGCTGTTCAAGGGGGTCAAGGAGATAAAGCCTAGGGATGGCTGTGCACCACACTCAAGCCCCTTCAGGTTCTTTTGTGGCCAATGGGAAATCGCCTCCACAATCCCCTGCTAGCTAAGGAAAGGCCATTTGATCTCTCCCCTAAAGAAGATGCTCCCCTAACTAGCCAGTTGGCATTTGCAGGCAGATTTGGAGGGCACCAGTTAAGCACCAACGTCAAAAAAAAATGCCCAGTGCCTGAGGGCCACAGAGTCATTTCAGAGAGCAGCTGTGCAGCCACACCTCAGCAACATCACTGTAACCAATGAGGGAATGAGTGCTAAACTGTGCCTGGTCGAATGAGCCTCCTCCCCCCATCTCTCCCTTCTGGATCAATTGATAACATGGCTTGGGTTAAGGGACTCTTGCCGTATCATGACAGTGTGTTCCGTCATTGGCCTTTTGCGGTGTAATCCCTCACTGTGGAGACCGCTGAGCAAACAAAGGGAATTGCCTGGCAGAAACCAGGCTGCAAACAGACAGGGCAGGCGAGGAGGGTAAGGAAAGCAGCCAGCTTTCCCAGGCGGACTTAAAAGAGAGCGGAAACATCAGAAGTGGCCTTTATTTTACAAGGCAAATGCTGAGGCTATAGGAAGCATTTGGAAGCTGCCAACTGGCAGGACTTCAGTTACAGGGCAGCCTTGATCTGGCTGTGGTGAAGTCACAGCAAAGTCTGGCTCTGGGTCATGAGCCCTGCAGCCCTGACACAGACACGCCATTAGTAATACACGCACACATCATCATACGCATCCACTCGGACACAGCCATAAACTCGCACGCACCCACATGCCCTGCCGCCGATACTCACACAGAGCCATACGCCCTCTTGACGATACTCTTGCTCCCAACACTGATCCACGCACACAGTAGCACCCATAGGCACTCTCAGCCAACACATACATATCCACACACTCCCCCAGTGTAGATGTTCATACCCTCCCCACAGACACACCGCCGTCAAACCACACCATGACTCTTGCAGGCTATAGATTCACTGCGTTTGATCACTGCAAAGTGCTTCAGGTACACATCCAATTAATACAAATGACAACGGTCCTGGGCCATGGGGTGATAATCCAGCTGCCCATTCCCCACTTGGGTGTTTTTATAGAATGTGAGAGAGACCAGGAGCTGTGCAGTTTGTATCCCAAACAGGAAATGAGCGAGAAACTCTGGGATCCTGCCTCAGAAGCCCCTGCAACTCTGATGGCTGCACTAGGACTGACAGATGAAGGAACAGTTGCTTTCTGGCACTGCCTGTGAAATTTTGCGATTCTCCCCATGCTCCCTCTCCTTTGCTCTTCCTGCCAGGCTCGTGCAAAGCAGTTTGCAGCGATAGGCTAGTTCTTGTAAACAGTTGCTTTTTGGCCAAAAAACCCAAACAACAGAGAAATTCAGAGTAGCTGACATTAAACAAAATTTGCTGCAAGCAGCACAAGTTGCGAGCAGGACAAGAGGCATAGCAGCAGTAGCCGAGAATCAGAGACTGTAGGGTGCAAATGCAGGCTGGCAATGGTGTTGAGTTTAACCCCCATCTCTGGACATATATATTTAGAAAATTATGGTAAAGAGTAAGCATTATATGTTTTGACTGCTGGGGACTCCAGCCCTTCCCCAGGGAGACACGCCAGAGGTTGTGGAGACAGCACCTTTGGAACCTGAAAAAGAAGATCCCTTTGCTTAGTTCTCTCTTTTTACCATTAGAGGCCAATCGGCCAAGGGAGGCCAGGGGGAGAGGTGAAGAAAGAAGGGAGACTCCGTAGTGCACAGACACTGTCATCGTGCACAGAACAAAGAGCCCAGAACATTCTACGCCACGGGGAACAGACCTAGTCGGGGATTCCCTTCCCATTTAACTCATTGCCGTGGTTTGCAGAGAACTAAAAAGTAAGGCACAAATCAAGACCAGCGACATTCTTTCCCCACACAAAACATGCACAAAAATGGTCACTCTCTTGTTCTAGGCAATTTCCTGCCCTTTGAACTCCCACAAAATTTGCCAGAATGACTCTTATTTACTCAAAGGTGGGCCAGAATCCAAATCCTCAACTCTGTACAGTTTCTTACTAGTATCTAGATCACAAAGGATAAGAGGTTATTACTGCTGCCAGCAGGAAGAGTTGCTCTGTTAGCTCAAGTGGCAGAAGCTTGTGCTTTTAGCACTGGAGATCCTGGGTTTAGTCCCTGGCAACACCACACAATGGACAGTCATTACATCTAGCCATGGTCAGTGTTTGTCTCAGGGGTTCTTGTAGGTAGGGATGGGAGCACCAGTGCAGAAATGGAATGAATCTTAACATTGCTCTGGATTATAGAACTTTGGGAAGGTGAGTGAGATGGTGCACAAATACTAAACTGGTTTAAACCAGTGGAGGGGCAATCCCACAGAGTAGGTAAGTACTGCCTAGTCCCCCCTTTCCTGGGCCTCTTGAATCCTGCCTACATATAACATGTGCGTAGTTCCCAAGTGCCATTTTTAATTCCCTTAAAAGGGGGGAACCTGCAGGCACACACTCTACACTCCTGGCTGCCATTTGCCCAATGGCTATCATAGACTCATAGAATATCAAGGTTGGAAGGGACCTCAGGAGGTCATCTAGTCCAACCCCGTGCTCAAAGCAGGACCAATTCCCAGACAGATTTTTGCCCCAGATCCCTAAGTGGCCCCTTCAAGGATTGAGCTCACAACCCTGGGTTTAGCAGGCCAAATGCTCAAACCACTGAGCTATCCCTGCCCCCTGCATCAGCTACTCTTGCTTCATTAGCAGGGATGCTCTGGTCATTGCTCCTCCCACTAAATGGAGTCACAGAGTTCCACTGTCTCCTTAAAGGCACAATACCCTTGTTAAAGAAAAATAACTATTGGAGAGTCTTATAAATATAACTGGTTCTAGATTTTGAAGTAATGTTGAGGAAGGACTGTCCTGGATGCACTGATACCTCATGATGCCACATCCGCTTACTGTAAAGCAATGAAATATGAAAGGTAGAAACATACCAAGCTACAATTATACGAAAGGTAACAAATGAACTATGAAACAAAATTATGATTTAATTAAATGTTTTCTCTCTGGCTCCCACTCAGAAAAAGTGGTAGGAGCAGAGGAATATGAACCAGAAGAATGGATTCTAGACCCAACTCTGCCACTGATATGACCTTCTGCTAGTCCAGCGGCAGTCATTAGACGGACCGCGGGCCAAATCCAGACTGCTGGATGCTTTTGAACGGACCCCAAAAATCTTATTTACTTATTTTTTATTATTATTTTCTCTGGAGTTTGGACCTTGACTATACCTTGACCAAGAAATCTGGACCTTGACAAAAAATAATTGACTACCCCTGTGCTAGTCACTGTCTCGTCTGTACTTCAGTTTCCCTGTGTTTACATGAGGATGGTAGATCCTTATCTTCTACTTCATAAGGGAGTTGCAAGGATTAGTTAGTTAATGTCTGTAGAGTACTCTAAATGCAAGTATCTCTGAAGATGGGATGTTAAGGAAACCTCATGCTGTCTTCATACCCTTTAAATTCCAACACACCCCTCTATTTTAGGACTTCACCTACCTACCAACTGTATCAGTTTTGCAACAAGTGCTTCTCAGAACTTACCATCTCCACCCAGGACACTCCACTGTAAACACATTACTTTCCCAGTGCCCACCCTACAGTGCATGAGCAGCATGTGATGCATTGCCACAGCCTTTGCCTTAATAGCAGCTTTGAAGTGTAAAATGGTCAGGATCACGTGCTGGGTGATTACCACTCAATGGGCCTCCTTGTTGAAGTGGAAATTTCTGATTGCCCAGCTTATCCCCGGCTGGCTGCCCATTAACTCTGAATGCCTGTGGGTCTCAGGCTGAGCCTGCTGTGTGTTCCTGGGCTGTCACAATTCTTTACAATAGCTGTCGGCCTTACGGGAAATGACACAATCTTATTTGAAATAGTGAATTACACACGCCCTAGCGTCTGAGACAGATCTGCTGCATTTCATGCCTCAGTGTGTCAACCCCAGTCCACATCTCAGAGACACTCCGTGAGGTTATTCTGGACTACAGGTGGCTCCTTCATTTAGTCTTCTCTACAGTGGGCACAGAGACCTGAAGATGGGTTTGCCATGAACTCCTTCCCCCTCCGCTCATGGATAGGTGAACTATTCCCTGAGGTGCCATCAAGCCTTCATCGTTTGGGCCCTATTTGTGGCAGGTAATTGTGGGGTTCCTGATAGGCATAATGCTATATTCTCAATGGACGGACACAAATAAATTGATTGAGCTTGTATCACTTCCTCTTAAGATCTTGTCGATGCTTCTAGCATAAGTAGCATCAGCCCTGTCCATTACTCGAATGAGAGCCCTCTACCACAAACACAGTATACTGCAGGAAGTAGTACTGGTGATTCAGCAGGTGGTACTTTTCTCTCTGAATCGGTCCCTCCCTCCCTCCCACCCCCCTGGTGTAGGAAGGTGCTATGCTGCTGTAAGTGACATCTTTGGGGTTAGAACTACGTCCCAAGCTCTCATGACCAGACATCATAACTGATCAGATTTCTGAACAGGCTGAACCCACAAGAGCCAGAATGCTCCAGAAGACAGGCTGAACTCCACCTGAGTTCTTATTCCTGATTCTGCCACTGATGCTTTTGGTGACCCTGGGCAAATCACCTAGGGTACATCTACACAGCACTTAAACACCCACCGCTGGCCCAGGTCAGCAGACTAGGGCTAAGGGGCTGTTCAGGGGTGTAGAGGTTCAAGCTTGGGCTGGAGCCTAGGCTCTGGGACCTGTGAGTTCAAGTCAGCTAACCTGGGCCAGCCATGGGTCTTTTATTCCATTGTAGACATACCCTGAACCTCTTTGACTCAGCTTCCTTTTGTGACATGAGAACAATGGTGCTTATGGTAGCTTCTTTCGTAAA